ATACCAGTGTGTGTACCAAATCAGTTATATCCATACAGCAAGCATGTTGATATGTTCTTTGCTGAAGCTGAGTATTCAGACAGTGTGTGGAGCTGCCTTGTTGGGTCTTTAAAACAGTCAGTTTATTTGTGTATACGGACATTAAGTCCCATTACATTCACTCACTTAACATGGCACACAGGAAGTTATCTAGACATAGATAATTGGGGATTATCCTTTACCTGTTGTTGTTAGGTGCCATCGAGTCATGTCTGATTCATAGTGACCCTGTGCACAGCACAACGAAACACTGCCTGGTCCTGTGCCAGCCTAATGATCCTTGTTATACCTGAACCCATTGTTGCAGCCACTGTGTCATTCCATCTCGTTGAAGGCCTGATATCAAGCATGATATCTTTCTCCAGGGAATGGTTTCTTCTGACATGACCAAAGTAGGTGAGATGAGGTCTGGCCATTCTCCCTTCCAAGGAGCATTCTGGCTGCACTTCCTCCAGGACAAATTTGTTAGTCCTTTTAGCAGTCCATGGTACTCTTAGCATTCTTCTCCAACACCACAACTCAATAGCTTCAACTCTTCTTCAGTCTTCCTTATTCATTGTCCAGCTCTCACATGCATAAGAGGCAATTGAAAACACCATGGCTTGGGTTAGGCTCTGTAGTCTTCAAGGAGACATCTTTGTTCTTGATTACTTGGAAGAGGTCTTTTGCAGCAGATTTTCCCAATGCAGTAAGTCATGTGATGTCGTAACTGCTGCTTCTGTTGGTGTTGATTGTAGAACCAAGTAATATGAAGTCCTTGACAACTTCAGTCTTTTCTCCATCCATCATGAAGCTGTTTATGGGACTAATTGTGGCATAAAAAAACTCCGAACCAAACTCACTGCCATCAAGTCGATTCTGACTCTACCAACCCCTATTGTGTTTCTGAAGTGGTAAATCTTTACGGAATTAAATTGCCTCATCTTCCTTCCGTGAAGCAGCTGGTGGGTTTGAACTGCCAACCTTCTAATTAATAGTCAAATACCTTAAGGCACTATGCCACGTGGGTGGCATAGAAGGTGGCAAAGCCTTCAAGAATTAAGCAGGGTGAAGTAAGTTTCCTAAGACGATGGGAAGTGGTGGGAATGTTTCCAGCAGGGCAAACCCCTCTGCCTTGGGCAGCCACACTGGGTTGTAGCCATGTGGAATGTTGGCCAGCCAACCCAGATCTCTGATTATATTTTAATTTTTGTTTTTAAGAAGCAAGAAATCTGTTTAATCCCCTCCTCAAAATGTTGGCAATGAATTCAGTTTTGTTTCTAAGTCTTTGATCAAGAGCTACTAGTTTGTGAGCTCTGGGAAGATTTTCCGGGGGCAGATGTAGGAGAATAGATCAACAGAGGCTTAGAACTAGTGTTAGGAGTAGGTGTGTCTGGCTGGGTGGGCTTGTCCTGGTTTCCAACTTCTCGTGGCTCTTATGAAATTATTCTGGTTGATCGGGAGTGAGATGATTTCATTCTCCCTCTTTGATTGTTCTCAGTACCACTGACATTCCCCTTGCTTCATGTTTTGCTGACATAATGACTGGGAGTCTTGCCAAGTAGAAGTGGATTGGTGCTTCAGATAATGAAAAGATTTGATTATTTTGAAAAAATAAAATTATCAGCGTGAGCACCTCAACAGAATTTTCAGATAAACCTATTTTTAACCTCTTGTGTTTGGTCCTTAGTCTGAAATACCTAAAGCTATCCGTAGCTAATTATCATGCAGACTGATTCATTTGGCTTATGGCAGCCAATAGTCCAAGCACCAGTTGCTCATCACAGCTCTGTTATTCAGTTTGGTCTTGAGGACTTCAGAGGAAAGGTTTCAGTAAAAATTATTTTTGTCTGAACTAACACAAACCTTTCCCATGTGACACACAATAAAATTGAGTAATTAATTTTAGATGAACCTAAATAGACCTAATAAATTCACCAAGCAGTGCCTATTAAAGTGAACAAGGTTCTTAAGGTTTTCCATGAATTTTGTGGGTGGAGACACAGAGTAGGATTTTGACTTTGTAATAATGGTGTATTTTACCAAGGCCATTTCCATTCAGGCTAAGAATAATGGAAGACAGAGACAGTTATTTGGAAAAGTCAGGCATAACAGGAAGTAAATGTTATGTTTAGAATCTTTCATATTGACAGTCTTTCCTTATATACTTTTCTGGATAGCTGCTTAAATCTAACCCGTATTTAGCCTGTGTGAGCACTGATAGAGACAGGGAAATTGACCAATGTCTGTAGTTACCTATAAATGTGCTATATGTGAGTAGCACTTTTCAGGGGGCTGGATATTGTTTAAACAACCTTTTTAATTGCAGCAGCTGAGCGAGCTCTAGGTTTTGAACTCAGTGGAAAGTTTTTGTTTGTTTTCCTTTTCTGCACTGGTACAAGTCTGTATTTCCGTGGTCTTAGAGGGCAAGACCCAGCCCATTTTCTGCAGGATGGAAGATGACCAACTGAGAGAATTGGTTTCCCTCCATAAAGAAATCATTTCAACAAGAAAATATATTACCTACATATTTACAAGGTTGAAGAAGAAAAGAATGATGCAACAAAACAGCAAGTGAAGAGAATTTTGAAGTGTTTCTATGAACAGGCCAAAATTAATCAGTACACAGAATGCTTTCATCCATAGGATAGACATATGAACTCCCTGATGCTATGATGATAGAAAATCATATAACTCAGCTATTTTTCCTGGCATAGTGCCCCACTGTAGACCTGAAGATATTTAAATGATCCATCTCTGCCGTGGTCCTTGCTGTGCATTTAGATTAATAGAAACCATTGAATTCCATAATAGATTTCTTCTGAATGTATTGCTTTTCCTGCTGGCTTCTGGGGTTGTGAATTTTGCATATGTCCCATGCAATCCTGGCACAGAAAGATTAAAACTGGAAGATACAGTGAACTATCAGGATTTCATCTTATTAGCTTGTAGGACATGTGTACAAAGATGAATGTAATTGTGCAAGGGTAGAGACTGATTTGTCATTCAAGAAAACTTAATATTTAAAAGTGTGCATTATTTCCAAGGTTTCTAAAGGAACAAAAATCAATCTTTCATGTATCTCTCATTCTTCTATAACATGTTGCAAACTCTCTGAGGTAAAAGGCTTCTGTATAATACTATAGCTGCTCTTGAGCCCTTCATGAATGTTACTGCTTCTTCCTTTTCCCTATATTTAACATGTAACAGCTGACAGGCATCTGGTTGATGTTTTACTTATTCTTGTTATTGACTCCTCCCATTTAATGTTACACTGAACAGGAGTCATGAGGAGCAAGAAAGGGCACTTCAGCTGTTTTCCTTGGAGTTCAGATTGTCTACAATATGGAGAACTGAAAAATAAATGAATAAAAAGAGTTGCTTTTAACCTATCTGTAAATACATGTTGATGTCTCTTGGTAATGGATTGCCCTTGTGAACAAGTAATCATTTAAAGTTTAATTTTAATCTGTGCATTAGAGATGGGGATATGAAATTGTTTAGGGCTCTTCTCTCAACCTCTCTCATTCTTTGATATTTCAAGATAAAGCAAATTAATTAATGTGCACTTTTCAGTTGAAGAAATGATTAAGACCCAGCTGTGTCTGTGAAATTATATGTTGCAGTGCAGCACTTGGGACTTGTTAATGCTTTTTTTGGCATGAAGAAGAGAGACACAGGTATCTAATATTAAATGGTGTTCTGAAAAGCACGAGTTAGCAGTTTGTTTGCTAAATTAACTTTCAAAGATGTCTAGGTTACTACATTTGACTTTTCTACACACAAATCTTAAATGATTGATGGACCACCATAAAATAGCTTTGTTCAAAAAGAGATAATCTTTGGCAGGCTACTTCAAAGGCTTTATTAAGCTGGAAAGATGAAAAGATAGCTCCATTTTATATTAATTTCCTTGATAGATCAACACTTACTCAAAATGTGCCTGAGAATGATGTGGTGTTTACTGTATTAAGAGTCTTCTTTCACTACATCTGGCAGCTCCTCATGGGATTGTTTTTATTTCTAAGATCTAGGATAATTTTTTCTGTACATAAAAAGCATCTTAAAGAAAATACAGATGGATACAATAGTATATTCTGGCATTTTTATCCACTACTGTTTATTGCAAGGTAGTAATTAAGACTGAAATATGTATGGATATAGCATTTTTTAATCAACAATACCATTTCAGTATGTGGTTTCAGATTTTCTCTATGTTGTTCTTCACAGGGTCTGAAAGGGTCCATTTCTTTCCCTTTAAAACATGGAGATTATGGTGTGATTTTATTTATGTCCAAGGTCACTGCAGAATTATATTTACTCAAGGTCAGAATCTCAACTATGGGGGTAAAGGAAGTAATGGAAATGAACGAACAGGACCAGTTTTCTATGTGAGCTCTGGAATGTGTTGTGAATGTGTGTTGGGGATGAGGGCATGGTGTCTGTGGAGAACTGTCATTTAGATTAGTATAGCATTCTGGTTTGTCAAAAGAAATTGGAAATCTGGATTGTTATCAGAAATTGCCTAGTTTTTCAATATTGGCAACTATGTATTTTTGGAAGATTGACTAAACAAAACATGTTTTGGGAATGATAGCTTTTGATGTCTCTGAAGCCTGCTGAGAAAAAGAAAAGTATTTGCCTTCAAAGGAAAAAAGAAGATGCTTTTCAGTGGTCTACCTATTTTGGAACGTAGTTTCTTAATTGTGTAATAGTAGCCCCTAATGGTCTTAAAGATGGCTCAGGACAAAGGAACCAAGGCTTTATGTCATGTATTTGGAAGAAGTTTGCAAAATGGGTCAGGTTCATGGAGAAGGAGGTGCAGTGGGCAGTGGATACAAGTAAAACACAATAATCAATGAGTTCACAATGGAAAAGATGTGAAGCAGTGGCCCCTTTTCTCTTGAATTTATTTTCAAGGTCATTTCATTTTATAAAGCTGACTTGCAAAAAACAAAAATCTCTTTTCTGCTCTTTGGCAGGGTGAAGTAGAGAAATAAAGTCTCCCCGCTGAACTACTATGAGGTCAGAAGCCTTGCTGCTATATTTCACACTGCTACACTTTGCTGGGGCTGGTTTCCCAGAAGATTCTGAGCCAATCAGTATTTCGCATGGCAACTGTAAGTACTCATGATTTTACTCTTGCTCCATTTCTTTGTGGACATTTTAGCCTGCATCAACCAGTAAACAATAAAAATTAAGTATTAAAAAAAAATAGGAGATTTTATTTAAAAAATCACCTATTGTGAGACCAGTCAGCAATTAATTTAAAACAAAGATAAGAATATAAAGGGACAGGGAAACTAGATTAATAGACATGGATCAACCAGAAGAGAAATAATGAGAATGTTCACACATTGTGATGAATGTAACCAATGTCACTGAACAACTTGTGTAGAGATTGTTGGAGACCTAAACTTCTATGTAAACCTTCACTGGAAACACAGTTATATATATATATACATGTATATATGTATGTATGTATGTATATATGTATGTATACACACACACACAAAAAAAAAAAAAAAACTCACTGCCATTGAATTGGATCCGACTCATAGCAGCCCCTCCTTGGACTTCCAGGATTGTATCACTATGGAAGTAGATTGCCCCATCTTCCTTCTAAGGAGTGACTGCTGGGTTTGAACCACCAGGCTTCTGGGTTAGCAGTCAAATGTCTTAGGCACTACACCACCAAAGCTCACTCGCTTGCTCTCTCTCTCATGTATGGAGCTCTGGTGGCACAGTGGATAAGGCATTTGGCTGCTAACCAAAAAGTCAGCAGTTCAAATCCACCAGCTGCTCCACAGAAGGAAGAGGGGGCAATCTATTTCCATAAAGATTTACCACTTCGGAAACCCAATGAGGTCACTATGAGTCAGAATCCACTCAATGACAGTGAGTTTGGTTTTTTCAAAACTTGCTACCATTGAGTTGATTCCAACTCATAGCAACCCCTTTTGGGTTTCCGAGGTGGTAAACCTTTATAGAAGCCCAGTCTTCCTTCCACTGGTAAATATATATGGGAAATTTAGTCATTCTAACCCATGTCCTTGGAAGGAAGGTTGGGCAATCTTCTTCCGTAGTGATACTGCCTTGGAAACCCAAGGAGGGTGTCCCTATGAGTCGGGGCTGACTCAATGGCACATAACAACAACAACAACCCATGTGGATGACAAAGCTGGTTAATTCAAGTCTAGTCAAATTGGTGGTATAACATATACATATACATATATACATATTTATAAATACTCACTGCCGTCACCTAGAATCCAACCCATATAGCAACCCTCTTTGGGTTTCTGAGGCAGTATCACTAAGGAAGTAGTTTGCCCAACCTTCCTTCTGAGGAGTGGCTGGTGGGTTTGAAGGATAACTTCATCAAATGTGGAGACATATCTGTGCAGGATTTCAAACTTTTCCTAATACCTTCAGTCAAGTCTCAATTATGTGGAGACTGTGATCATGACTTAATCCAGCTGTATGGGAAAGTATCACTAGCATTGCCAGTGTTACATATTTTCATATGTAATCAATGTATGGACATTGTTAAAAGAGATGAGCTGAAAATAATGAGTGTTTTGGAGTAAGGTAGAAATAAAAATTTTTTTTTAGACTTGCAATTTATATTTTGCCAGACTTGGGTTGAGAATGATTTTGACTTCACCGAGGACTTATTTTAATTGTCTATATACTGTCTGTTGGTCTCTTCCTTATTGTCAGGGGTTGTTGTGTTGTTGTTACATGCCATCCAGTCGGACCCGACTCATAGAGACCCCTCTTTGGGTTTCTGAGGCAGTATCACTACAGAAGTAGATTGCCCCATCTTCCTTCTGAGGAGTGGCTGGTGAGTTTGAACCACCAGCCTTCTGGTTAGCAGTCAAGTGCCTTAGGCACTATGCTACCAGCGCTCCCATTGTCAGGGGTAGATAACCAATATGATTAAAAATTCATTTGTCTCTTCAGAAGAGTAAAATCCTACCTGTATGTTGGACAGAACAATCAACTTGCTACCTTTTTTTTCCTATCCTCCAAAAAGCAAGATATTTTGTGACAGTAAAGGTGAAAAAGAACATTTTTCCCCACTATCTATGTCCTCATAATTATCTCAAAACAAAAACAGAGTGAACTTGATAAAGAGTATTTAACAGTGATGTTAGACACTAACAAGTCCTTCAATGCCCAATCTTTGGGTTGAAAAAGAAGATATTTTTACATGAAGATGAGGAAGCAATATTGATAAAACAATTAGAGAACAAAAGGTCAAAGGCCATTGTTCTGGTTACCTAGTGCTGCTCTGACAAGAATATATACCACAAATGGGATGGCCTCGACAAACAGGAGTTTATTCTTATAATTTGGAGGCTTTAAGTCTAAGTTCAAAGTGCCAAGCTCTAGGGGCTGGGTGCAAGCCCTTCAGCCTGGGGCTTCAGCTCTGCCTCCAGCTCCCAGCCCACTGAAGCTAGAGGCATTTCTTCACTCAGACAGCTGCTGGCTGCTGAGGCTGAGAAGCCCAAGGTTGGCAAATAAAATGGCACAGTCCCGATGTTACCAAACCACACCGCAGGCCGTTAATTTAAAGCCATTGTAAGTCCCAAGATCAGCAGAACATGGCAGGCTGCTGAGCAATGACACAGCTACATGCAGGGTTCAAGCATGCCATAAGCTAGATACTATTCCCAAGGCTTCTCCTTATATACAGGAAGCAGAACACATCCCAAAGGCAGCTACTCAGCTGCTTGTGGTAGATCCCACCATGGAGTTGATTGTCAGTCTCATCATGGGGAATAAATACCACCAGCTACCCAGCCACTCAACCAGGCCCAGCCAAGATGACACACAAACATAACTACCACAGGCATGATGAAGGACCCAAATTATGTGGTCCAATATCATCACTCTAAAAGTGGCAGAGTTCACCTTCCTCAAGGTACAAAAAAATTTTTTTTTAATTTCATTATTTCCACTCAAAAAGATTTTTTTATCTTTGGTGCCACAGTACAAAAGGCTTCCTCAGCCCAAATACACTACTGAAAATCATGCTTAAATGATCGCTTAAGACCATGCTAGCAGACAAACATATTAATTGTTTTAGCTAGCTCACTGCTGAATGGGTAAATGAAGTTTCAGAGCAGTGGGAGGAAAGCATAAGATAAACTCATACCTAGCTTGATTGTGAGTAAAATATACTGTGACTCTCTAATAAGATACCCATTCTGAGCAGCGCTCAGATACTAGAGGAGTTGAAAGTGTAGGGGTCTGAGCATTAATCTGTGAATGGTTTTTATTCATTATTTACACCCCTGGAAAACAACTGCCTTTTAAAATGACTCATCTTTCTTTCCTTCTTACTTTCTTTGGAAGATTGCCAAAGCTCTGCAGATTGTAGGTTTAAAGACAGAGAAATGTTGAGATCTAGGTATTTCTAAAGGTCAGATATTAGTACAAATTGCCCACTCCCAACTAAAGACAACTGTAGGAAAAGAGAAATATGCTCCTTGACTGCCCGAGGCAGGGAAAATTTGAGATCCACCCAACTGGCTACACTCAGTTTGACCCTGCCCTGTCAAAGCCCAAATTTCTGTGAGATTAGCCAATTGCTCAACTCGAGTGAACTTCCCACAGTTCCTAGAATGCCAACCAACCTAATGGGGCTGCCTTCAATAGTGGATTATTCCAACTGGACGCCTGTGGAGACTGTATTTTTCTTCTGGCTCCTGGATGAAGGCTCTTGCCTCCAGACCACATTGCCTTTGTGGTGATTGATGGGTAGGCTGCTTTGAAATAGTTTTGTCCCGAGACAAGATCTTTGGCAGACTGCCCCTCGGGCTTAGCACTCTACAGAAGATGAAAAGAAAACTGTGGAAGAAAAGAGCACCTTCATGGAAAGGGTTCACTAGTAAGTTTAACCCTCAGAAAAAGAGACAACTCAGAAATTGTGACACTTAGAACCGTAAGTTCAGGCTTATTACTTATCATCATCTGTAAATTAAATTGTAATTTGATGAGCCTTAAATAGTACTGTTCTGTCATACTATTTCTGATGGAAATGGTGGCAAGGTCTGACTTAAATACGGTTTTGTCTTATTACCCATCCATCCACCCCCACCCTATCATTTCTTGGCTTGATTTCTTTTTCCCTCTCTTGCCCCATCTCCCCTTTTCACAGATACAAAACAGTATCCGGTGTTTGTGGGCCACAAGCCAGGACGGAACACCACACAGAGGCACAGACTGGACATTCAGATGATTCTGATCATGAATAGAACCCTCTACGTTGCTGCTAGGTAAGTGGCCCTTCTGTCACATCTGTGTTCAAGTCCAAAGTCCTGGCTGTGCATCGTTTTTCAGATTTTTAAGGTTCCCACACAAAGCCTTATTTAATTTAAAGGCTATTTTGGTTTGTCATGCAATCATTCTTTCAAGATTTTCGATGTCTGTTTAACTTTATGTGGATTTAGATGGAAATAATTGCATATTGTGGAGCTTAAACCCAAATAACCTACTGTGTATCCTGAGCATATATGCAAATATTTACTCAGCACCCAGTCGAGTGCTTCACTCCTTGATACTTGTTTGTTAAATTGAGTTGACTATATAAACACGTATTACATAAGTGTGTGTGTGTGTAGGTGTGTGTATGTTAAATCTGTTTGCGTTTGTGCAATGAACATCAGTATATATCATTTGTTAACAGAATAGCAATGGCATCCAATGAAACCATAAATATATCAAAATATAAAAAGATTTTTGATTTGGCTTTACTAAGAGACTATGCATCCTTGAGGAAATGTTCTTTAGACTCTGTGCCTAAAGACTGAATGACATGTTGTGAATACTGCCTGAACAGGGATCACAGTGGACTTGGGGGATCATGATGGACTTAGGCTTTTGTTCTAATTCTGCCCTTAATGTAGTTGGATAACAACTTGTCTGCCCATATGTGTCCCCTGTTAAATGAGATATTGGATTAGATTATCCTAATTGAAGTCCCCTGGGATTCCAATAATATATAATCCACCCATTTTTGGATTGTATAGCTCATTCAGAATAGTTATCATTGAACAGTTCCTGGAAGTATTACCTATCTTATCGGGTTCCACTGGATCTGGATTGATTAATCATTTTATGCTGGGAAAATGAAATAGAAATTATGATACTTAACCTGGCTGTGAGCGTAGATAATAATAAGAAGTAAGTTGCAAATATAATTGCAAATTTTTTATAAATGTTAACCCATTCAGTCTTCTAAACAATCCTGTGAGAAGGAGCTGTTATTATCCCATGTCTTAGGGGAAGAAACCAAGGTAAGAGAGGTTAAATGACTGGGCCAAAATGATGGAGGCAGGATTTGAGCCCTATTGGTCTTGCTGAAGATCATAGTATTACTTGCTGTACTGTGCTGCTCACTGAGCCTTCGAGGTGGTACTATTTGCCCTGGTAATTAACTTCTAATAGCTGTTGCCAAAGAAAATAACCATTGTGGGTGCTCACTAGAAAGCATTCCAATAAGGTCTTCAGTAGCTGCCTCTCCAAGAAAATACCAGCTCCTTCTTAGATATCGTTTGTAGTTTCTGGATGTAGTGAGCCTGGAAGATTATATTGGTACCCAATTATCTAAAGGCTGATCAGAACAAATGATTAAACACTGGATTTGTGAGAAGTAGAGTAACTCAGGAATCTCCTATGAATTGTTCACTTTTCACTTGTGTCTTAGGGGGAAAAATGGTTTGACAGACTGCCCTTGTATCTAGCAGTGATTTAGCATGGGTGTGGACTGCAGGTAGAGGTATGGACTGTAATGCAGTACAGGAGAATAAGGAGCAAGGTGCTATGCAAACTTAAAGGTGACCATTATTCCAGCTCATTAAAACCAAGATTCTTTATCCTAACTCTCACTCCAATAAAAAAAAGAAGAAAGTGAAGGAAAAAGAAAAGAAGCATTCATTTTCGAAAAGCTATAAAACAGAATTGTCTTTGGTTAAACGTCAAGTTTATACCTTCTCATTGGCATGTTGATTTTCACTCAATACCCAGACAAACCAAAAAATCCATTGTCCTCGAGTTGATTCTGACTCATAGTTATACTCTAGGGCAGAATAGATGTACTCCATAGGGCTTCCAAGGCTGTAAATCCTTATGGAAACAGACTGCCACATCTTTCTGCCACAGAACAGCTGGTAGGTTCGAACTGCTAACTTTTCGGTTAATAGCCCAGCACTTAATCACTATGCCACCAGGGCTCCTATCATACCCAGCCACTTGCCCTTGGAAAAATTCCTAAAGTAGTTCTGTGGGCACCATATTTAAGGCCTCTCGGCTCTTTTTAATGTCACATTTCCCAACATTGCCCTGAGAGATCCAGGTTCCTAGGCAGCAAGTAACACGATTTAAAGTTAAATCCTTTCCCCAGGCTCAAACCATGGCAACCCAGAATTCAGTGTTGCTCCATGGTGGCAGTAACAGGAAGTCATAGGATTAAGTCAGTTTGTGTTCAAATAACTTAATTTAGCAAAGGCAGTGCGTGAATCCTGGGATGAACATGCAATGGCTGGGAACAACCCTTGCCCCTTGTCTGTGGTTTACTCCATAAAGTATGGTTTCTGTTTGCTGGGGGCAATGTGATCCTTAGGATATTGAAAAAGATTGCCATTGTCCAAGAAGAGATTTCATTCATGCTATTCTGTTTTAAAAAATGCTTCTCAGTTCTTCTAGACAATTGATATCAGCAATTGGAAGCCAAGTCCCATCCAGAACCCTGGTATTGAGTGAGGCTTGGTCACAAGAACCTCTTTCAATTCTGCTTTATTATTATCTACTTTATAAATTCTTCTTTTGGAAAAAAAAAAAAAATCTCTAAACTGCTAATTAACATAAACAGGCCATGCCAGGAGAGGCAATCCCAGAGCTTTCTGAGGAGTTGCCAATGCATATTAATCAGTCGTTAATTTACAATTCATATATTCAGCTCCTACTTAAGTTTTGAGGGGAGGCAGGGCAAGGAAAGCCTAGAGTCATCTCAAACCTGATACCAAAGTAATAGGCAATTCCATTCTAATAATGAGCCTGACCACAGTACCAACAATAAAGTCAAGATAGTAATAAAGGAATGCAATAAACCTGCCTTGAAATTAAAGGGCAGGGTGATTCTGGCACCCTACTGAAGTTTGAAGAAACTTCCCAGTTCAGCAATTTATAAAATAGGCTCTTCATTCTCTCCCTTACCAACCTCACGGGTGCGTGCGCGCACGCACACACACACACACACACACACTCACTCGCTCACTCGCTGGCTCACTCACTCACATTCACGGTTCCATGGCAGGCAGAGGAGTTTTGTAAGCCAACTGCCCTGCCCTCTTCTTTTATTTTCACGTGAGAGAGCTTCTTTTTATTTCATTTTTTTCTCTGTTGTGCTTTCCCGAAAAACAGTAGCAAACAGAGATTTCCCAAGACAGAGGGGGAAAAAAAAGAAAAGAAAAAAGCTTATCCTAACTAAATAATTGTCTCCTATCTCTCTCCCTCCCTCTTTCTAATAACGAGGGGGCTTGAAAGTCTGCATCAGTGCCTTGAGGCCCTAGTTTAAAGCTGTGGGTAATTTTCCAGCCCCAGGACTTCCTGCATTTTAGAAAAAGTCAATATTATTTCAAGGGAAAATGAGCTGTTTTGCTTTCCCTCACTAGCCCCTCATCTCCCCAGTTAAGTGTAGTTCTTTTCTTTCTTCTGGATTCCAGACAAAAACGCCTTTGTACTCAGCTCACACAGAAGGGGATGTTTAAATATAGTCCCACACCTGAGCTGCTGATTCTGTTTCTCCCCTTCAAAGGGGAGACTGGCAGCAAATTGTAAAGAGAACCAAATTCTCAGCAAAACAGGAAGGTGAACAGAAGCAAGAAATGTAAACTTTAGCTCAAGTACATTTTAGACCTTAATTGACCATCATCGTGTGAAGAAAAGAGTGGCTTCTGGAAATAATTTTACCTCCATTATCTTTTTTTCCTTCCATCTTCTCGATCAAAGCTGAGACTGGAAATATATTTTCTGAAGAGATGAAGACAGAGACTAGCTTTTTTTTTTTTTTTTTTTTAAACCCTGTTGTTGAGCAAATGTGGCATGTTCAATACCAAGTGTTTGGTACATGGATTTGAAGACACTTAAAGGGCATGTGAACCCAACTATTTTCCAGTTTTTGGACCAATTTAATGTCCAGGGTCTTTTTCCTGAATTACATATATGCAAGTGCTGGAGTTTTGGTGTCACAGAGAATGCTGACTACAGGAAAGTTTTCCATAAAAGGTGTATATTAGAGCAAGATGCTGTACTTCTTCAGAAAGATGCTTAATGTCATCCAGAATGTCTCTTGCAGGCTGGCCTCTTTTTCTTGCATGTAAATGTCTTTTTTTATTTTTAATAACATGGATATGGATTTATTTGCCTTGAATGAGATATAACTCATTCAGTAGAAAATAAACTGTCTTTACACTTGTGTTTGTCTATTGTGTTTGACTTTATATTAATTTTTCTTTGCTTACAGGGACCATATTTATACTGTTGATATAGACACGTCACATGCCGAAGAAATTTATTGTAGCAAAGTAAGTAGTTTTAAAACCATCTTTCTGAAGTGAAGGACTGTAATATTTTAAATACAGTTACTGAGATAATATGGTTAAGACTCATTCGAAAATACCACCACACGTTTTGTGGATCCTAATCTGGGTGTAGAGTCCTTGGGTGATGCAAACAATTTACATGCTCAGCAGCTAACCAAAAAATTGGTAGTTGAGTCCACCGAGAGACACCTTGGAAGAAAGGCCTGGCAATCTACATCTGAAAAATCAGCTACTGAAAATCCTATGGAGCACAGTTTTACTCTGACACACACAGGGTCACCATGAGTCAGAGTCAACCTGATAGTAACTGGGTTCTAATTTGGGAGTAGGTTAGGGCTTAATACGTTTTCAGAAAAAGTTTTGTACTTCATGTGTTATTCATTGAGCATCCATACATATACATTTTGGAGTTTTTGGTAATTTCTAAATTCTTTTAATAAAATATTGCCATGTTTGTACCACAGAAATACCAATTTTCTTACGCAAAATTTTATCCCACAAATGTTTCAAAGTTATTTTTCCATGTGTTTGATTTGACTGTTGTGGTTCAGGAGTTTGATCATTATCCCTTTCAGGCGGACATAAAATATAACCTAACATTGCTTGTAACTCCACATGGGGGTATTTTAGTTAAGAAAAACTGTACATACAAGTAGATGATTCCTTCAGTCCATTAACTTACAAGAAGGAGAAAACTTGATTTAAATCTTTGTCCACCAAAGGTAAATGTCTCCCTTTTGCATAAGAAAATGACTTCCATATTTTAAGGACAAAATCTACTTTATAAAAATTGATTTATCAACTGAAAAGAAAGGGTAGGACATGTATTTTCTCAAAATGAGCATAATTTATTAAGTTAATTTGGATATTTTATGTGAAAATTCCATGGTGATACTTACTCTCCTTTCTTTATTCTTTATCTTTATCTCAAAGAGAAGAAGATCATTTTGTAGTTTAATGAATAGATAGGAGTTCAAAATTAAATGAACATTTCCATCTCTAATCTTTTCTTGTTGTGGTGAATTAATCATCGAGAAAGGGTGCAGAAAGCTTTCAGTAAATATATGTTCAGCCTCTAGTCTCCCCAAGGGAACTCTTACTTCTAAAATCAAATGCAACAACCTCTGGGCTTTAATTGATTTCTTTCTTGATCCCGGCAGAAACTGACATGGAAATCTAGACAGGCTGATGTAGACACATGCAGAATGAAGGGAAAACATAAGGTAGGCAATTTTCATTTCTCCTGCAGCTGCCACTGTAGGTTAAGGTTTTGAATGTTAACTCCAGCCGTTGACTGTGACGTGGAATGGATCATGCCATTCACTTTTTCCCCAGTAATTGCTTTTTCCATCAACTTATTGAAGCCTTTAATTTGCAAAAATAGTTTGCTTTTAATGTGATGAAACATTACGACAGCTGCTCAGGCTGCATCATGAACTACTTAAGCGCACTAGGGATTATGGGCACAAAGTTGCTATCCTGACTCTTCACAGTGCACTCTCCGACAGCCCCACCTTGCAGCCCAGTGCCTACAGGGAGTTGGGGGAAGAGCTCATAAAAGGCTGCTGCAGACATACAGGGTTTTGTGCCTTTGGTCATAAAGCAGCATAAAAACATACTTCAGCCAGGAGCCTTGTGCATCAGGGGACCCTGTAGCATCTGGCATTAAAATTATTATGATGGGAGGTTGGTGCTTCCAGGCAAGCCTCCTCCTTGTGACCTACGTACACGCTTCCATTCTGCACCCTGTTTTTATTTGCTGTAGAAAAAACAATTGTTTAGCATAGCAGGAAGAACTCGAAATTTTATAGGAGAGCTCCTCAGCTACCTTCATTTTAACCCTCCTGTGAACAGATCAAGGAGATCTGGTGGCGTAGTGCCTAAGGCATCTGACTTCCAACCAGAGGGTTGGTGGTTCAAACCCACCAGCCACTCCATGGAAAGAAGATGAGGCAATCTACTTCTGTAAAAATTTACTGCCTTGGAAACCCAATGGGGGTCGCTCTGAGTCAGAGTCAACTTGATGGCAGTGGGTTTGGTTTTAGTGCTGTGAGCAGATCAGGAGCCCTGGTGGTGCAGTTGCTAAGCCCTTGGCTGTTAAACGAAAGATCAGCCATTCAAACCCACCAGCTACTCCATGGGATAAAGATGTGGCAGTCTGCTTCCATAATGATTAACAGCCTTGGAAACTCTATAGGGCAATTCTACTCCATCCTACAGAGCTGCTATGAGTTGGAATCGACTTGATGGAAATGGAGTGGGTGTGGGTGAGCAGATCACTGTATAATGTGAAAAATGAGTTTCTGTATTGAATGAACTGTTATAAAAAGTTTGAATTATTTTTCAGGATGAGTGTCACAACTTTATTAAAGTTCTTCTAAAGAAAAATGATGATACGTTGTTTGTCTGTGGAACTAATGCCTTCAACCCTTCCTGCAGAAACTATAAGGTAAATGCTGCTTTCTCTGTCTGGAACCACACAGCCAGGAGGTATTTCATAATTTACTGTGATCGTACCTGTCGCAACCTAAGGGGTAATTCAACACCGCCCGGGTTCCTCTCACTTGTTCAACTTAATGTATTGCTCCACATGAGTGATCCTGAGCAGGCTTCTCAGCTTCCTGTTTGTCCATAATTGATTGACACATCTTTAAAAACCCTACACAGTAAAGTTAGTTTCTATAAGACCCTATTCTTTATTGTTTGGAACACTGACATACTTACCATGTGTACCATGTGGATTTCCTTTCCCTCTTTCTCTTTCTCCCTTACACCCCCATCATCTCTCTGAGCATAAAATCACATATATATGGTAAATAAGTCTCGATTTAAAAGCATCTCTAAAGCATGGCATTTGAAACTGTAAATTTCTTCTACGTAAGATTTTAAGAACTCTGGAATATAATTCCATTTTAGCATTCAGAAAAGAGTGTCCTACTTTACAATGACCTTTATGCAGAGGGGCAAATAACTCTCAAAGTTAGTCAACCTAGTTAGCCCTGATGCATCTGGTAGAGGTGTCGCTGAAAAAGCAAGGAGTTCACCAGCTGCACAAGCCATGGTGGCAGTGATCTTGGGTTTTGCCTCTCCATCTGTTGTTGTTCATGACTCTTCTGTCTGTAAGTCTTTCACTCAGGAGAAGACAATAGCATTTTTGCTGTGGTCAGGCACTGAGGCTATAAAGGCAAATAGGAGACCTCCACCCTTTGGGAATATAAAGACAATGAGTAGGAAACTATAGTTTCATGAGGTTTCTGCTACAGTGAAACAGAGTATTATGGGAACACAGCCAAAGAGTACTTAATCCAGCCTGCGGAAGTCTTCCAGGAGATGGGTGACCTCTCCCTTACAATGTTTCCACCAACTGTTCTCACACATTGAACACCCCTGCCTAACTCATAAGAAATCAATAAGTTCTGTGAGTGCAGAGACCATGGTTGTGCTTGTCCAGAACCTGTGATAATTGAGTATGATATTGAGTACCAAACAGGTACTCAATAAATGTTTGTGGAATAAATGACTGTCTGAAGGAGAAGACATTCCAGATAGAGAAACAGCATCAACAAAGACTTGAGGAAAAAAAAATAATAGCCTATTAAGCTTGAGAAACATCATTTGGTTCTGAAGGGCCGGACTGTGAAGTGACAAGTGATAACGAGAAAGAGACCAGGGATGAAGGGGAGAGAAGAGATTCATGAAAATATTTAAGTAACAAAACTCAGTAGGATTTAATGATTGACACCCAGGATAAGGAGGGGGGTGGGGAATCAAGAATGACTGCCAGGCTATCTCTTGGGTGAGTGGACAGATGAGGCTGCCACTGACCTAGGTAGAAAATAAAGGAAGAGCCATGGTTGAGTGGAGGTGGTGAGATGATAAGGAGTTCAGTTGTGAGCATAATGAGTTCTGTGGCAATGCCTGTGGAATTGAATAGAGATACTTACATGGATGATGAGTGGGTAAGCCCTGACTTAGGCAGACACCTGGGTAGAAATATAGATTTGAGTTTCATCCATCCAGATAGTAGCAAACCCCAAGGAGTATGAAGCATAAGTAAAGGAGTATGGGCTAGAACCAGAACCAGAGGTCTCACCAGCCTTTGTTTGACAGCTTTAAGGGCCTTCTGAACCCTTTCTTTGCACAGCTATTGAATGTGGAAGGTCTTTTACCTTCACACTCCTCCTCCATTAGTCTTACGTTTGGAAATTGGCATGAACAGGACCAGGATTAGGGTGAGCAAGTGAGATGTAAAATTCCTCAGGCACAAAATCGAATGAGTTGCCATAAATTCAGTATTCAAGATAAATGATATTCGAATACAACAGTAAATAATCAAAATTAATGCAAGAAAACTCCATACCAACAAAATGACAAACTTTTAAATAAAGATAAGATCCATAAGCTTAAAGTAGAAGCAGCTAGACCTGCCCAGTATTTGCTCTAGCCTGTGACAGCAAACAGCTCAAGTTTCAACTTCAAGTCCACCACTTAATATTCCATCCCTGTTTGTCATTGTTTAGAACTCAGTAAGGTTAATAATTCTAACAAATCTAAGGAATTCCCTAGCTGGAATGCAATCTTTTGTGACAAATTACAGGTTTTCCTGGCACCGTGATTCATGGGCTGTGAGTAGCCTAGCTCATTTTTCCTGCACGTGTTCCATTCCCCATGATGCCTCACCTGTATTGATACCTTCACCTCTTACTTGTTCTAGGCACACCTACTGAGACATGTTTCATTCCAGGAGCCTGGACTTCTCAGAAGCCACAGGCAGGAATGTACTTCATGGTTAGGCCCCATCTATGTGTGTGTCTCTGCAGATGGCAGTAAAAACAGTGGCATGGCTCAGAAAAAGGTTCTTTCAGACTCAGGGCACAGAAGGATCTGACTATAGGAAGAAAGGACAGCCTCTCTTTTGGTGAACACACAATTCCCCCCACAGTAAACACAGCTAAACTTTTTTCCAACCAAATCAGAGCCAAAGAATTATAGCACAAATAATGGCCAGTTTTCCACTGAAAAACCTAAGTCTCATCACAAGAACAACAAGTTGATTAGAGTAACTTCACACAGGCAAAAAAAAAAAAAACAAACAAACCCAAACTCACTGCCATTGAGTCATTTTCCCGACTCATAGTGACCTCTCTTTGGGTTTCTGAGACAGTATCTCTGTGGAAGTAGATTGCCCAATCTTCCTTATGAGGAGTGGCTGGTGGGTTTGAACTGCCAGCCTTTTGGTTAGCAGTCAAGTGCCTTAGGCACTATGCTACCAGAGGACCTAATTTTACGTCTCTGCTTCTACCATACCTTGATTTTTATACTTTGTATTTTGGACATAGGCATAATATGTGAGGAAGATTACAGCCCGAAATAAGATTATCTGGGGTTGAATTTTGAAGTCATTCTTGATCCGCCCCCCGCCCTCCCCTTATCCTGGGTGTTGATCATTAAATCCTACTGAGTTTTGTCACTTAAATATTTTCATGAATCTCTTCTCTCCCCTTCATCCCTGGTTTCTTTCTCATCACTTGCCACTTCATAGTCCAGCCCTTCAGAACAAAATGGAGTTTCTTAAGCCTTTTCTGTCCTGTTCTCTAAACCTCTTGAACTTTTGGGAAGGTCAGGCTGGTTCTTTGTATAATTATCTGTGCCCCATGGTGATTTAATTTCCCAGGGGCTACTGTTAAGTCTGCTGTTTGATCACTACCACAGGATTAGTTCTTCATGGAAAGAGGATTTTGCCATGGCATTGTTTTGTTTTCAGACCTTTCCAGACTCACAAATTAATACATTAAGTTTTCACTGCTTCCTACCTTTGACTAACTAGAGCTGTTGCACTTTTTCTTTTCTTTAATTGTGATTTGGGTGAAGATTTACAGAGCAAATTCACTTTCCATACAGCAGTTCACATGTACTTTGTCTCATGTCATTGACCACAGTTTACCACAATGCAACAGCTCCCCTCCCACTTCCTCCCCATAGTTACTTCTTCCCAGTG